TAGTGATGTATCCTAAGATGGAGTATTGTTCTCGTCACTCCTCTTTTGTAGGTCTTGAATTTGGAAAATCGTACAGTTGATTGTGACAAAAACCCACCTTACTCTTTTACAAACAATATAAAAGGTTGCATAATACAGTAAGTGTCAATAACTCTAGAAGAGCAATAAGGGCCGTATCGCCAGTTGTTCCTACAATTGTAGGAGGCCTCCTTGATTTTCATAGTATTTTCTCTCATTCAGAAAGGCTGGGGTATTTCTAGATGTATACTGTTCCGTGTCGGCTTCACCGCTCTCCTATTGTGAGGTTATGTTTTCTTTTGCAATCGTAGCAAATTTCAGGCTGATAAAACAGATGATAAAAATCAAAAGCATGAACAATTTGATGCAAATAGGTATTTGTAACATAACCTCAAAATAGAGCGCTGACACGGAGCAGTAGAAATCTTGAAATAGAAATCTGCCTTGCTGAAGGACAGGAAAAGCTATGAAAATCAAGGAGGCCAGAAAGACGTCGTACAATAATCTTAGGACCGACTGACGATACTGCCCTCAATCTATTAAAACTATTTCAATAATATGTGTATATTAAAAACATGGAGATTCTAAAAACGTTCAGAAGTAATTTGTGTTTTAAGTTGCAATATTGCAAAAAATTCGTAAATATATTTAAAATATCAAAAACGTAACTGCTTTGAGCAGGTTAATAACACATATATGTAACAAAAATCAGCTACAACAGCTACTTAGCTTTATGTTTGGGTATTGGTAATTCAAAAAACTGAAGGCAAGACCTAAGATAATTTCATTCTCTAAACAATACTGATAACATTCATCATAGCATGGCAAGTTTGCCCCTCTCAAAACAGGAGTAGGTATAGAATACTGGCCTAGATGGATAGGCAGCTACAGTTTGGGAAACATGTCTGATCTAGAAATGTCTTAAAGGTAGTGACATCTCAGGCTCAAGATCGATTTTAGTCCTGGGGAGATCGTCAGGAGCGGATTTCGTCCAAAAAAAGAAGAGAAACTATGAGACTATTTGGATTTGTAAAATTGCAAAACTTCAAGGCCAGAAAATGTTTGGCAATATTTCTATTTTCCCACTACTCCTGTCATTGGAAAGCATTATGCCCCACAAGATATGACTATTCCGAATTAAATTTCTCAGAAGTATTGAAGATGGTCTTCAAATTGCAATATATTTCAATTTTTTATTTTTTCGAAATCTTTCATTGTCTTCTGGGGCTGACAATTCGAATGCCTTGCGAAATAAAAAATCCACAATATTAATTTTTATAGTAAAGAGTAAAGATCAACCTATCGCTGTGTGAGTTAAATTTTATCAATGAAAAATGAAAATATTCGAAAAATCACTTCGGACTGATATATCAGAATTTGGAGGTCATGCTTGAATTTCTTGAAGAATTTCACTTCGGAATATGCATATACTATGGGACCTAATGGTTTCCAGAGACACGAGTAGCAAGAAAATAGAAAAGTTCTACAAATGTAAAAATTCACATTTTTGCTGAACCTTCAAACTTTGAGCGCGTCTGTAGACCTAGGACCTTGACATTTCACAAATTCTCATGCCTCCGTAGGTAATCTCCAGGGAAAATTTTTGAGCCGGATCTTAGATATGCCCCGCCAAACCAGGTCATGGGATTTCAGGTTTTACTTCCTCGGTACGCGATATTTTCGCAAAATTTCTCGTGATTAGGTTTTTCGAAACTCTCACCTAAACCTTAGGCATTTTTTTTACCGAAGGTCGAATGTCTGTCGGAATATTAATTTTTCGGGCAAATGTGGCCGAAGTCACATTTTTCGTAGTTATCCAATGATGACCTTGGGTTTGACCTTGACCACGACCTTCAAGGTCATTTGAATAGCAAGTCGATTTTTTAAACGAACCCTCCATTTTTTACCTCGTTCAGATATGGTCATGACCATTCTTAAATTTTGACCTTAGGAGGTCGTGGTCAAAGTCAAACCCATATACGGTATTGTAACTTAAACGCCAGTAGTCGTATCGGGAAGCTACCGAGACATCATGTTCATGATTTCCCGCATATCCAATGGTGACCTCGGCTCTGACCTTAGCCATGACTGTCAATATCATTTGAAGGTTAATTTTTTTTAAATGGACCCTATACTTTCGACCGAGGAAATGGAGAAAAAGAGAAATTCTATGTTCAAATAAGGTTAAGTTGAAAAACGGTTTTTAGCGACACTTCGCCTTTTTATACTTTGTATAAATAAAGCCGGATTATTATTATTATAAATATGTTCTTGTCCATTTTTGGAACTTGACCTTGGACCTGGCCATCAAGGTCTAACTCAAGTTTACCTCAATTTCTTAATAATTCAAAAAACTGTGTGATATGGTAAACTCACTTCATTGTTCTTTTGAGGATTGTTTGCTGGCTACAAAAATCGACTTGACCTTCACATGAATGTCATCATGGTTAAGGACAGATCCAACGTCACCATTGGATACCCGGGGGAAGATCATGAAAATAATGTCCCGGTAGTTTCTCTACACGGCTGACTACTGGTTGTCAAGTTATATCAACGTACCTGGGTTTGGCGTTGACTATGACCGAAGGTCAAAATTTAAGAATGGTCAAGGTCATATTAGAACGTAAAACTTCCCGCTCTTTTCATTTTCGGGGTCAAAAATGGGACGTTCCATTTAAAAAATCGACTTGACCTTCAAATGACCTCGAAGATCATGGTCAAGGTCAAACCCCGGAACGGTGATACAGCTTGAAAGCCAGTAGTCGTATAGGGAAACTACCTAGACATTATTTTCTTTATTTCCAAGGCATATCCATTGGTGACCTTAGATATGACCTTTGCCATGACTTTCAAAGATATCTGGATGTGCTATTTTTTAATAGGACCCTATTCTTTTGATCGCGGAAATGGAGAAAAGGGAAATTTTATGTTCGAATATGTCCTTGATCATTTTTTAAAATTGGCCTTGACCATCAAGGTCAAACACAAGTTTATCTTAATTTCTTGATAAATCAGGAAACTGTGTGATACCCAGTTAAACTGACTTCATTGTTTTTTCAGGATTGTTACCTGGCTACAAAAATTCCCTTCAACTTCACATGAGCTTGAAGGTCATCATGGTTAAGGTCAGATCCAAGGTCACCACTGGATATCCGGGGAAAATCAAGGAGATAATGTTTCGGAAGTTTCCCTATACGATTACTGGTTGTCAAGTTATATCACCGTACCTGAGGTTGACCTTGACTATGAACTCCTATATTCAAAATTTTAAAACGGTCAATATCACAGTAGAACGTAAAATTTTCCGATTTTCTCATTTACTGTGTCAAAAATGGGAGGTTTATTTTAAAAAAATCGACTTGACCTTCAAGGACATGGTCACCATTCAATGTATCGCAGGGATTTCTTTTGTCATACCATTACTAGTTCACAAATTATCATGATGGATATTCGCCATGTGGGCACCAATCGTTTCTGCGAGGCTTTGTTGCTTACACTGTAGCCAGCTCTTAAACCACTAGCTGTTGTAGCTTGAATATCACTGATTAGAACATTAAAATTGCACACGACATTTATAACACAGACAAAACACTGAATATGGAGTAAAATGTATAAGTGAGTATTTGGCTCGAAAGGGACCGTGTTTTTTTCTCTTATCTATGAAACTAAAGTTTCTTAAGGAACCTTAAATACATATGTCCTCCACATTCTAACAAAAAACGACCCTGCATCAACTTTGCAAAATTCGAAATTAATTCTAGAATTTGAAGACTTGCAGCTTTTTTGCGGTGTAGAGCCCCGTTTGGTATTGTGTAATCCAGGGTAAAAAGTACAAACCAAGCGGATTTAGTTATTTGATGTTATTTGAAATAAAAGAGATTCTTGTTAGACTCAATTTAGAGTATAGTATCTTTGTCAAAGAATAGGCATTCTGTAATTTTATTTATGTTTTCAAACAATTTATCAAGCAAAATGTTGTACAGCAACAATGAGACACTGTTAGTTTCAATAAAATGCTCATTTAATTGTTGTCATGTCAATCTAGATATTGTATCAGATTTGTGTCCATGATTCGCGTATGACGCAAATGCTTCTTTTTCATTGGTGCATTTTATGATCATGACCGCTAATTTAGCAAATGGAAAGTAAGTTTTTGGCGGTGTAGCTTGAATATGCTCGTACAGACAGCGCCATCAACGAGACACTAAACTTTTCAAAGTATATACAGGGTGTCTAATAAGTACCACAACAAACTTAAGGAGACGGTAGGCTTTGGACTGACCTCTCAAATAACAAAAACTTATCTACATAAAAGTGTCACCGTTTTTGAGATATTGAATTTTTTCATAAATTTTAAAAAACGAACCTTTTCATCTGTGATCTATAGCTGCATGTACAAATAAGGTTATACTTTGTTCATTTTTTCTATAAAATACTTCTAGATAGTTGCTTTATCATATACAAATACTATATAGTTAAAAGATATTAAGGAACCATGATCAAATAAGGACTATTTTGGGATTTATAACCTTCTAATATTTTTCCTCAACTTTGACCATCTGTGGTAAAATAAAAATGTACTAGGCTATAACTGCATTATATTGAATAAAAAGAATGCTCATTGAATACAGATTTCAGAAAGGCACCACACGTACTATTTGGGACAGATAGCTGTTTGTGTAAATGACTGACACACACTACAATGTAATTATTGGATTTAAATTCAAGTTGCACTAGTTACCGATCAGTGACATGCTAAATAGTACAAAGCTACATTATTATTACCTGCTCCTGATATGATTTTATGAAAGTTGAGGAAACAATATCAGACGGTTATAAATCCCAAAACAGTCCTTATTTTATCGTGGTTCCTTAATATCTTTTAACTATGTTGCATTGGCATATGATAAAGCAACTATCTAGAAGTGTTTTATAGAAAAAATGAACAAAGTATAACCTTATTTGTACATGCAGCTAAAGACCACAGACGAAAAGGTTCGTTTTTTTAAAATTTAAGGAAAAATTCAATATCTCAAAAACGGTGACACTTTTATATAGGTAAGTTGAGAGATCAGTCCAAAGCCTACCTTAAGTTTGTCGTGGTACTTATTGGACACCCTGTATAGTTAATAGAGAAACAGTTGTGGCAAATTCTCAAGCATAACGCTACGGTATCTCAACTCGCAAATGTAGCATTAGGTTGGATATCTTTAGGTAGGATACGTTTATCAATGCTTTAAATCTAAATGAATCACCCGTTACAAGACGAGCAGGAGCGGTACAAAAAAATTTCGTTGCATCAAAAACATCATTTTGGACCAAATCCGCTTGGAGAATTAACAAAAATAACCTATGTCGCATTTGTAGGATGCAAATACGCAGAGGCAGAATTCAACAATTCCATTCTCTGCTTCTGCTTTCTCTGTTCGCTCATTTGGTCTTTAAGTTCCATCAGTTGTTGAGACAGAGTCGTGACCAGCATTTGAGTATTCTGCAACTGAAGAGTGAGTCCTTTCAGCTCAATCTGTTCCCCTTCTCCCTCGATGGCATTCAGAGAAATCGCTCGAAGTCTAGGAAACCATTCCAGGTTCGAAGCCTTCACCATTGCGTACACGTAGCTTTCTGGACCTGTGAATTCAGTCGGATCCTTCACTTTGATCAAGACTGTGAAGAACAGGTAGTGCCACATATTGTGCTCACATTTAATGTGGTCTTCGAAATTGACTATTTTGTTGTCGAATGCGGATCTGTTTAAACCTGCAAAGAAAAGATGTGTTTAAAAAACCACGCCAAGTAAGTTGACTCTGTACAGGGTGGCCAACTAAGAATGCGGGGTCCTGCATTTGGGAACCAATCCATCGTAAAGGCTTGCGGCAAAAAGTTCTTACTCAAATGGCCAAGAGAAAAACCTAGAAAATAATTTCTAGTTCCTGAAATGACCGCTGCGGGCGTAACTGCAATATTGAATCTAAAAAAGTGATGTTTCTGTGAATTCTGCTATATTAACCAAACAACACATACGTGATATTTGAGGTCCAGGATAATGTGATCTTTTTTGTTTGAAAATATTTGCTGTATCTCTAAAAATAAAGTGGTTGGGGGTATCCAGATGTTTCCGTAAAAAACCGATTTTAACAAACTTGGGTTTGTTGAAAGAGCTATTTTTGTACTGAAAATGCTATAATATTTGAAGTTTTGATAGTTTCACATCTAACCGCTAGAAGGCTTTTGTCGACATTCCGGCAGAAATGGATAATTTTCTTAAAAAAATTAAATGCATTGGTATGATTTCTTTTATGAAAAAGTACCCAATGTCTAAACAAGCTCGCGGAAACCGCATCTCGATATCTTGTTCCTAACTTAAAGGTTAGGCCAAAGAAAATGTTATTATTTTATATTCATCAGAATAAAATCATCTTATGGAAAATATAAAATATCACTAAAAGGTAAGTTGTAAGTATGCTGATAACAACAAGCATATTTTTGGTTTAAATGCATATTCACTAAGGGCACAGCCACAGCTTAAATAACAATCAGCTATGAAAATATCTTGCCAGGGACAAAAATGATCGCCATTTCGGCGGAGAATGTCGAATGTAAATTCCCCCAGTACAACGATGAAAGAGGTTTCAGCATTCCTTAATAAGTATTGATGATTATTTATTTACGAAATAGCTTCAGAATAAATTTTTAATGGTGGAAGGTTATCAGTACTTACCATAAACAAGAAAATATTTACTTTTGTATGATATATGTACAGTAATGGACAAAAGTATATAGACAAATTAATATTGTGCTGTATTTCTTTTTTAACTTGTTTCATTAATACACCAACCTGTATACATAATTCGTTATAGCATAATACTTATACATACATAAATTCATTAGACTCCCTTCAATAAAAAATTAATTGAAAAAAACTGGAACTATGAAGGACAAAAGTATATAGACATAGCAAAACAATTATAGAAAAAAGAGCAAAGTTCATTGAATTATAGAAAACTAACCATGTTTGTGTTAATATTTTGTAGCATGACCATTATTATCAATCACCGCCTGGAATCGTCTCGGTATAGATTGTAGAAGTTTCTTGATATAAGATTCATCAATCTGTCTCCACTTTTGCTCTAAAGCGGCAAAAAGTTCATCCTTGTTTGAATAATTTTTATCTCGTATTTGCTTATCTAAGTATTCCCATAGATTTTCAATGGGGTTTATATCGGAAGACTGTGAAGGCCATTTGAGAACTGGTATTTTTTCATCCAGAAAGAATTTCTTTGCGGGATTTGAAGTGTGCTTCGGGTCATTATCTTGCTGGAAGATTGATGATTTTAAGGGCATACTGTCTTCCATATAGGGTAACACGACATGCTTTGGTATGTCTGTGTATACAAACTTATCCATAATGCCATCTATTCTATGTAAAGGTCCCATCCGAAACCCCGAAAAGCACCCCCAAACCATAACAGACCCGCCTCCATGTTTGACAGTGGACAAAGTGAACTTGGGGTTCAATCTTTGTCTACTAGGACGTCTAACGTAATGAACACCATCTGATCCAAACATATTGAACTTGGATTCATCACTGAAACATACCCTCTTCCAGCCACAGATGCTCCAATCAAGATGCAACCGTGCAAATTGTAATCGGTCCTTATGGTTTTTCTTCGAGATTAGCGGCTTCTTACTCGGGCGACGTGCAAATAACTTCAAATCATTTAATCTTCTAGTTATAGTTTTCGTAAAAACACTGACAATTCCTGTAAAACACTGACATATCCTGTTGTCTCGATTTCGGCTTTTATTTGTCTTGGGGTTTTAAACGGATCTTTGGACGAAATTACTTTTATTAATCTAACTGATCTAGCATTTAGTTTTCTAGGCCGACCACTTCTTTTAGAGGCTTCCAAGATACCTTTTTGTTTATATTTGTTCAATATTGTCCAAGCTGCTTTACGCTTCAGCTTCAAATTTTTGGCAATGTCGACTTGACGTTGACCATCTTTGTATAACTCAATGGTCTTGAAATCACTCAACTTATTCCACAATACTTTATGAACACAAACTAATCCTTTTCTGACACAAAACTGTACTAAATCAATGTTGAAAAGAATTTGTCTACATATTTTTGTCCCTCATAAAAAAGTGCTTATATTCAGACTTGTATTGTGTTCATTGCAGATAATGTAAAAACAAGGAATTCAGTTTTTCTACTAATAACGCATTTGTTTATGGAGCAGTGAAGTATGAATTCGTTTTCCAAAGGTATTCAGGTAAATATTCATAATTGTCTATATACTTTTGTCCATTACTGTATATAAAAGCAATGAATAAAACCGATGAAAACATGTCTTTACCGCTTCACATTTTACAGCTGTTCTTTATTTAAAATTATGCTAGGATGGTACCATAGATTTGGCTCCAAAATTTCATTTTGAGACCACATGAAGGGTTTAATGAAAGTTTCAAGGAACATTATTATTCCTTTTCACATAAATCATCACAGGAGGGTCGGGTCCTTGGAATACGCGAGGCGTACGTACCCTTAATCACGCGTTTCTATTGCACTCTTTGGTCAGCGGTTCAAATCTCATCCGTACTCAACGATTTCTTCTTTCTTTTTTTGTTTCTCTTTTGAATTATCTCATTCTGTCCTACGTGTTCCACATATCCGAATAACGGAACGAGTGGTGCCATCCATCATCCAACGATTAAAACTGTTTTTGTTTAATAGCGCATCAGTGGCGCCGCCCATTATCCAAAGGCTAAAACTGATTTGAAATAGGTAGCGTCAATTGTCGGGGCTTTTGGATAATATTTGGATTTTGCTATCATACGGTCATAGTTAACAATTTTGCTACTTTTGCACCCATTTGAATGCCATTTAATATAAAATCACAATTATGAACACAGTAGTACAGTAGTATTGAATTACGTTTTAACGATTTTGTATTTATGCTTACAATAGATCGGTAAATAAAGAGCACCATCATTAGCTTTACCAGTTTCCAATCTATACTCATTATGTTACCTCATTACTATTACTATTACTATTATATCGTAACCCGATACGTGAGATGAAATAATTTTATATATTTTTAATTATTCAGGCACTGTTCTCGTACTAATAGACTTATATTTTTGCCATTGAGGTTATATACAATGTGTTTGGTCACGACATACCGATATTTGAGGGGGATATTTTTCAGCTATTTTTATCGACAAAACCACCCCCTACAATGTCATACCTCACCCCCCTTGAAATGGATCCATACCGCTGCGAAAGAAATTAGGGCTGACACGGATATGGTCTGCCGCTCAACACGACACATTGTTTTAAGAACAACAATGTGCATAACCAATAATGGAAGACATTTTGAACAACTTCTGTAACATTAAACATGTCCAAACTCTCTATAAGAAATATTGATTTGTCATTTCTATGCATATAAAGTTTGAAAACAATTTGCATTTTATTACATCCATTTTGACCCATGTTAGATAGATAGCATTTATTGCTTAACGTAGAATACTTAGGATAACAAAAAGCTGTAGAATTAGCACAAAAAGGTACTTCACAGGCTAGTTTTTGAATGGTGTGCGGAAATGCACAAAATAATTTTCTTTCACATTTTTTTTCTGTTTTTGTCTGTTTTTAAGTATGTTTGACGATTTGTATCAAAACAAGTTTTTCAATAATCGCTTATTAAGCATGTCATCGTTCAAATGACACCCAATTTATCATTCTGTGACAATTACGTACTCAGTTATTACAATTTTCATACATGCACTACCGTAATCGTAACGTAAAAATAAAAGTGGCTGCCATTTCAAGGAGGATGAGGTAGGAATTGTAGCGGGGTGGATTTGTCGATAAAAATAGCTGAAAAATACCCCTCTTAAATATCGGTATGTCGTGACCAAACACATTGTATAAGCCATTTTAGGAAGAAAATAAAGCATTTTAGAGATACGAATTTTATTGAAATTTCCAGTCTCTCGATCTAGTGTGTGTTCCCACAAAGCACTCAAGATCATATTGCAAAAATTATAATTTTTACGATTATATCTGTCACCGGCATGGTAAGCGGCAATACCATCTAGGACTGTTGAACAGCTGATTCTTGGAACAAGTTACACCAATTTCTTAAAAAAAACCAAACAGCAAATGCTATAAAGTAATAAATATTCATACGAGTTAATCTTGAAATATGTCACAATAAAATAATTCAACAGAGAAACAAAAACAAAAAAATATAATGAGTATAGATTGGAAATTGGTAAAGCTAATGATGGTGCTCTATATTTACCGATCTATTGTAAGCAGACATACAAAATCGTTAAAACGTAATTCAATACTACTGTACTACTGTGTTCATAATTGTGATTTTATATTAAATGGCATTCAAATGGGTGCAAAAGTAGCAAAATTGTTAACTATGACCGTATGATAGCAAAATCCAAACATTAACCAAAAGCTCCGACAATTGACGCTACCTATTTCAAATCAGTTTTAGCCTTTGGATAATGGGCGGCGCCACTGATGCGCTATTAAACAAAAACAGTTTTAATCGTTGGATGATGGATGGCACCACTCGTTCCGTTATTCGGATATGTGGAACACGTAGGACAGAATGAGATAATTCAAAAGAGAAACAAAAATAAGAAAGAAAAAATTGTTGGATACGGATGGGACTTGAACCGCAAACCAAAAAATGCAATAGAAACGAGTGATTAAGGGTACGTACGACTCGGGACGCAAGGTTACAGACAGTGATGTTCAAATTTGTCATTCTATTCCAAGGACCGGCCCCTCATATGATGATTTATGTGAAATAGAATAATAACGTTTCATAAAACTTTCAGTAGTAAATGTTCATATGATCTGAAAATGAAATGTGGGGGCGAATTCTTTAATACCAAGATAGCATCATTTTAAATAAATGTTACTTTTGTTTTCGTCTGGTTTCCTTAATTTCTTCTACTTTAATATATCATACAAATGTAAATATTTTTCCGTTTATTGTAAATACTGATAGCCTTCCACCATTACAAATTTATTCTGAAGATTTTTCATAAATAAATACATTATTATTAGTTCACACAAACTGCTCATTAGCTCAACAAAATAATGTTTGTCATTGCAACGCATATCTGCGTCCGCTTGCTTGGTACGCGGCAACTTCTTTCATCGTTATACTGGAGGAATTTACATTCGACATTCTCCGCCGAAATAGCAGTCGTTTTTGACAGTGACAGGAGAGTTTTATAGCTGAGCCGCTTTCCAGTGCTTTTGAATTGAGTGTTGTATGTACCCGGAGTGTGACGCTCGCAAACTGCTCTAGCAAATGTGGACGGGAACGCGACGATGAAAACCTAAGGTGTTTTTTGATGTTTTGCTTTGTCATTGACAATTTGTATCACACTGTCAAACAATGAAAATCTAAACAAATTTTGCCTTAATTTTCAGAAGCATTGTCACACTATCCAATTGATGCCTGATGATGCTTTTAGAATGATAACGCAACAAGTCAGAGGTCTGCATATGTATTGTAAAGCTTCTGGATAAATGTGTCGAATTCATATTTTAGTGTAGGCATCCAAAATTATTTTCAGAGTGAACTTGCCTTCATGCGCTCTCTTGTGATCCTTATTATTGAGGAACATCTCTCTCAGTAGAAATCTAGAAATCCCCAGCCTTTCTGAACGCGAGAAGATATTATGAAAATCAAGGAGGACATAAAGGCGTCCTACAATATTGTAGGGACGACTGACAATACGGCCCGAAGTTGTACTATGGGTATATACGAAAACGACAATAGAAGCAGGTCATGGAATACAACAAAACAAATACCTAATCAAAACATAAATAATCCTGAAATTGTTAGTTATCAATAGTTTCGCGTTACTTTGAGCAATTTTTGTTCTTACCAAATGGGTTTTACGAACGATTAAGCTATTGATATGCTTGCAGTTTATTTCGAACGTATTCAGAATGCTGTAGTAGCAAAAAGAGTTCAAGCGACTCGGTATCCAAATCTTTGCGATGCGAGAAATTTTCCCCGATTAGTGGCAAGCTTACGAGCCAATGGTAGTTTTCGGCCTACGCTTCAACGGCAAAGAATTGGAAGAACACAATAAAATAGTAACCGCGTTCGGGGATATATTGAAAGAATCCTTAGCATATACGGGGATATTGAAACCTTTCTTTTTTAAATCGGTCCTTTTTAGGTCCACAACTTAGTAATAAAAAGAAATTCCAGAAAAATTAGTCTAAAAATAGTATTAATAAATTAATATAAATTTTAGGTTAGGAACAAGATATCGAGATGCGGTTTTCGCGAACATGTTTAGACATCATTAAGCTACTTTTTCATAAAAAAGCACACCAATGCATTTAATTTTTTGAGAAAATTAACCATTTCTGTCGGAATGTCAAAGAAAGCCCTTTAGCGGTCACATCTGAAACTAACAAAACTTCAAATATTATACCATTGTAGCCCAAGAATGGCAGCCGTTTCGAAGATGTTTTGTATGGAAGCCTTTGAATACCCCGACCACTTCATTTTCAAAGATACAGCAAAAATTGTCAAACAAAAAAGGGTCAGATTTTCCCCAAATTTAAAGACCAGGTATTGTTTTGTAAGATTAATATAGCGGAATTCACAGAAACATCACATTTTTGAGATTCAAGATTGCAGTTACGCCCCCTAGCGGCCATTTCAGAAACTTGAAAATCTGTTCCAGGCTTTTCTCTTGGCTGTTCTAGTAATAACTGTTTTTGCCTCTACGAAGGATAGGTTGTCAGATACAGTACAGAAAAAGGGTAGGCCATATATAACAAAAAACTGAATGAGCTTCCTTTTTCCTCAGAGAGAAATTACTGCAGGTGCACATGATCGTTACTATTAACAATCCCGCGTGAATGACGATATTTGACTTCACCATGCACAGTTCACGCAGTCCAGTAGTGTGGAAGCGATTGCCGACCGTAACATACTACCGTCAACGATGACGCTTTTCCATCCTGGGGACCACGTCGCACGTATCGACGCCCGACTGTTGGAGATTCATATATCCCAGTTTTAAGGGTAAATGTACGGGGACGTCTATGATGAGTGAAATATACCCAATATGTGCGTAATATTACTGAGGTTGGAGACGTATAAATAAACCAACGTCAAAAAATTGAATCCCCTGCAGTTCCTAACCCCCAATTTTTAAACCCTACATTTTTTTTTTCAAAATGATCAGGATCGTCTGAAACGTCAAACAACAAAGTTTGAGCGATTTTTATTTTTTTGTTGGCCTTTATCTCCGCCTCCACTAGACGGATTTTCAAAAACCACAAAGCTTTTTTGGCATAGTAGCAACAATGTGTACAAATTTCATCCAAATCCGATCGGTAGGTTTCTAACCCGTCAAATGGGTGGGGGTTATGGACTAGTTGTATGATTCTTTTGTTACACAGTAGCTAATTTTTCATCAAAGGGGCTAACTTGTGCCGAAAATAATCCTTTATGAACTGATGTTTAAAAATGTCATCGTTGATGTTAAAAAAGTTCGAGAATTGATCCTTAAGCTCCGCCCCTGCAACCTTGATTATTGTTGCTGACAGTAAAATAAGTGATCTTAATAGGCTATGTTAGCACAATATCAAGGTTATACATCAAATTTTTATGAATTATAAATAATAGCAAAACAGGTTACCAGGCAACCTTGCTGTAATCTGTTTTGCTATTATTTATCATTCATAAAAATCAAGTTTCGCAAAAAAAATGTCACGTCAAGTAGGTTGACTCTGAAGTTCGCCAATGATTTTGTGAAAACGATACTGTGATCTATCTTGTCTCATCAAATGAGGATTTTCTCGTGCGAGTTGTGTAGATCCATGAAACCATCTTTTTTAAATGGCAACAGTCCATGAAATTTTCTCTAAAAATCGCGGATCTTCCCGGTGGCTCGGGAACATTCTTTGACAAAATTCAACTCTTGGAAGATAATCCCGGGTTTGTACAGGTTGTACTCGCTGTGCGTGGTACGGGTGGAGCTCGTTTTTTCGCAAGATTTGGCGGGCTGTACTTTTAGGCACTCCCTTGCTTCTTCGACTGCTTGTAGTACGACGTCTTCGTGAGGAAAGGTCATTCTTCCTTCACCATGTGCTGGATTTGCGAGTCTTCCCTCTGAGAGTAAATGGTGCACGTTCACAAAAATTCAGTGATTGGGATGACGTGCAGCATTTGGGTAGATCTCACGGTAAAGCCTAGCTGCAGCACTAGCATTGCATCTACAGGGACATAAATGAGGTTCGTGTTGGCGTATTCCTGTACGGTGTAGACTGATATGGCGGCACTACACAATCATGAATTAATAGAAGTGGCGTTACTATCTGTCTTGCTGTCACTACGTAGAATGACACTGTCCGTCACTCCGTCTAAGAAAAAAATGAAATTTATAGTAATGGGAACTAAAAAATCATTCCGTTTTTTTAGGCTTATAATTCACACGATTATATAATATGACTTGGCCTATCCCCCGTTTCCGGCTTGACTTCGACTTCTGGGACATCCTGTATATCCAAAATTAAAGGAAGCTTCATGAGAACAAAAGAGCCAAAGGTATACTTACCGCAAATGAAGCATGTATTTTTGAGAATTAACTCTTTCTGTTGCTTCTCCGACCTCAGATCGGCAAAAGTGTCGATTATCACACCGAAGATTAGATTAAGTACAATAATTATGACAACAAAGAAGAATAGCAGATCGTAGACAACTCTGGCCACAAACAGTGGCTCCTAAAACAAAATAGAAAAATTAGAATATACCAACAGAAAAGCGATCCATAAAATATAGCTAATGCCAGAGAAGTAGTATCACCACTGAAGAAAGTAGTTTGGGGTGGCTGGTGATACAGTAACCCCTGGGGAGAACGTACAAGGGGTCCAATAAGACCCCAATGTTGGTGCCTTGAGTGATTACCTTTTCCAGTACAAAACACGAGCTCTGTAAATTAAGTGATGCGACTGATTTGTTTGTTAATTTTTTAATCAATATTGTCACCCTCAAAATAACTTCCTTCTGAAGCCACAAAGCACTGAAGAAGGTTCTTCCACTCCTCATAGTAGTTCTGGAACCCCGATACTGAAATAGGTTTCAGCTGATCGGTTACAGTCGCTTGAATATTTTCGACTGTCCCAAAATAAGTTTTCTTGAGGTGATTTTTCAACTTCAGAGAAAAAAGGCACAAGGACTCAAGTCAGGCAAATAAGGAGGTTGAGGAGCCACAGGAATGTTTTTACTGGCCAAAAACTCGTTTATTGTCATTGTCGTGTGACAAGGAGCATTATCGTGATGCAACACCTAATTGTTCTTGATCTGATGCAGTTTGAGTCAAATTCAACTCTTCCCCGATCAGTCTGATTGAATCGAAGATCTGAACTCACAAGATCCCGGACGCTGTCAATATTTGCATCAGTTTTTGAAGATAAAGGTCTTCTGCTTCGTGGTTCATATTCGATGGAGTCTCTCCCTTCTGAAAATTCCTCAAACCACCGAAAAACCTGGGCTCTTGACAAAACACTCAACAATCTCCATAGGCCTGCTGACGTTTAGCAAAAGTTTCTGTTGCACAGTGCCCAAGTCAGAAGCAAAACCTGATAACATCGTTGCCAGAAATAGATGTCACTCATTTTTAGAACACAAAAGAAAACACTGTTTCTCAAACCACATCAAAATGCTCGAGCGAGTTCAAACTTGTACTGAAGGCACCTCCAGTATTTCCAGATCGAACGCTACGTTGTCAGTTTCATCACTTTATGTACAGAACCCGTACGCGGGCGTGATAGTGTGTGTGTGTGTGTGTGTGTGTGTGTGTGTGTGTGTGTGTGTGTGTGTGTGTGTGTGTGTGTGTGTGTGTGTGTGTGTGTGTGTGTGTGTGTGTGTGTATGGATGGAAATTACCTCACTGCTAGGTGCTCTCAATACATCGCCAATGCCCCCACCATTTCTCAGTCCTTGGTTCAAAGTTGTTACGATGCACATTCTCAACGAATCGCATGCAGTCTCTTTCATTTCTTCACCGGAATCTATTGCCTGGCAATGCTCATCGTCCATATTCAGGTATTTGCCTCCTATCGACTCCATAGCTTCACAAGCTTTATCCTCTGAAAAATACGCGGTCAAATTAAGGTTAAAAAATAGAACATTCTAGCAAAAGTTGCCTTGACACTAGAACTTGTCCGCACTGACGCTACACGTGCTGTTGTGCTATGGCATGCATACACAATAGGTTGCCAAAAATAGTTTGTAATGTCATCGAGTAATTGTGTTTATGCTGGGTGATTCAGGCCATTATCTTTATGGCGTAGACAAAAATATTGCGTTTTGAAAAATAGTTTTTAGCCTCTACGTCACTGGCGATTCTCTACCTGTGGATCTATCTTCCTTGTCATTACGTAATCTCGGTAACCACTGTGCCGTTAGTCCGATAAAATGAAATATGGATTACATGTGTTCTGCTAGACGTGCTAATATTCGACTTTTACAAAAAAACCGAAAGGGGTCGAGTTGGTTTTAGGGTGAAACTATACCCATTCCTACATAAATTATAGCAGAATTTTTTCGCAACTACCCCAAAGACTCTGATTTTTTATTTAAAATGTTCTTTCATTTACTTAATTTTTCGTCTCATAAAAACAGGCCATCTCGCATATTTTCATTCATAAAGTTTAAATTAAAAAGTAACGTTTGAATTTATTTTTTATTGTTAATTTCTTGTTCGTTCTTCATAAATTTTAAATTGACGTTTCAGATAATTTTTGGTAAAATCGACTTATTTTGAGTCTGAAACCAGGTAGCGTAAACATACCAGTTATTGGACATTGCGAGCTATTGGACATCTCAATTATTTTAACTGAAAACAAGAGTTCTGTATTCAATAGTGAGCCAAGTTTTTATAAATGTCGTCATCGTACTATTAGCACAGCTTAAATAATAATTAGCTATGAAACTCTCCTGTCAGAGTCAAAAATGGCAGCCATTTCGGCGGAGAAAGTCGAATGTAAATTCCCTCAGTACAAATATGAAAGAGTTTTTAGTGCCCAGCAGCAGTCGGTACACTATATCACATCGAAATATAATCATTTCAGGATTGCAAAGAATATCTGCGGCCGCTGTCATGACACGAGGCAACACCGCTGCTGCTGAGGACTAAAATCTCTTTCATCCTTGTACTGGGGGAAGTTACATTCGACATTCTCCGCCGAAATGGATGCCGTTTTTGACACTGAGAGGATTGTTTCATAGCTGATTGTTATCTAAGCTGTTCTACAATCAAATTCAAGCGAATAACCAAATTAAAATGGTATTTACCATTATGGATTGGTATCTACCGATCTGTTCAAGCGAGTGTGGTTATCAGTTTGGTTATAAGATCCGTGACGTCAGGAATCAGCTGTTATATTTCATAGTTATCACCGCAAAATTGTGGTATTTACCCAACTCAGGAGTAGTTTTATATTTCTGGTTATTATTTGAAACGTGACAAGATGGAATTTTGTCGGGTATTGGATATTTTTGTTGTAGTTCAGCTTCATTTTTTGGAAACTTGATACAGGCTGACTTCAGTTGTAGCATAAAGTAGAGCACCTTATTAGTTGTACTCATTACTGATGCTGGGGACACTTAAAATCTAGTTCCTATGCTTAACTAAGTATCCTGTATAGCCATATAAAACAAGAATATTAAAATATGGTCATATAAACTCACTGGATAATGTCCACCTGTATACAGTTTTCCTAATATCTTTTTTCATCGCTTTTTCCTATCATTTCTGCTAAATCAATAAATGTTTTCTTTGATATGGTTAAAAGTTTAGAGAATTAAAAGTTATCATAGCTACAAAGCCATAGTTCCATCATTAAAAATTATTTTCTGAAAAAAAAAAACATTTCTCCCATTAATATTATGAAAGGTTTCTTTTTTAAACTGTCCATGCACTGTTGTAGACGGAAAAGCACCGATTGTTAAGTGGTGATAAAAATAATCAGAAATTACATACGCGCTTTTCTAAAATAAACAACTTGCAACAAATCTGCAGTTAAAACCAACGCGTTCATGCGATTCGTGTAACTGACGTCATCGACCCGTGTGTCATCTTAAACCATATTATAACCGCGGTACATAACACAGAAATTTTGGTTATTCGCTTGGATTTGATTAATTAACACATTGACTGTCCAATGAGCCACATATGGCTCATGGACCATATTCTCCATGCGTCCATGAGCCCTATGTAGTACATAAATTCATACAACTTTTATAAGTTGGACGTGGTAGTACGCACACATTTTTTGTATGTGGGCGTTAGAGTATTCCTTACTCCACACTTTAAAAAAAAAATTATTAAAATCGAATGAAAAATAAAGATTTTATAAACTTTTTATTTTTTTCGGTTTAATAGGTAAAAACGTACATTACTAACATATATCTAATGGTTTTCTCCAAAGCAAGGCACGCAAAATGCTTGATTGCAGGATTTGCAGATAGTGTTGACCCTCTTAGCTTTTTTTGCAGATTCTGATGCCGAATTGTTTCCGCGCAGTTTCCCATAGCATCCGTGGCAACGCTTTCTGTAGAGTTTGTTATTATCTCTAGGCAGTTCTTCCAGTATGTGAGTAGTTTTTTTGGTCTTGCCTCCAGAACCGCCATCGTTATTAGATCTTCTTTTTAACATCTCGCTTATTAGGGATTGTCTCATTTGCAAAAGAGATACTTGTTCTTTTTTTGGACGTTGTTCATTATATATAATCAGAGTGTTCACAACGAGTGTTCCACAAATAATCTCTATGGCGAGTTTTTTATACCATGTCAATGACTTTCTCAGACAAGTGTAGTAGCTGGCAAACTGATCAGATATATCCACCCCTTGTTTTCCTTTATTGTAGTCCAAAATGGCAGAAGGTTTAATCTTATCTTCGCCATTTCTTTTTTTTCCACAAGTTTTCATTTCATCATCATGAACAGTTGAGAGAAAAAGAACGTCACGCTGGTCTTTCCATTTTGAAACAGTAATACAGCCATTTTGTCTTGAGATTATTTCGCCCTTGCGTAATTTGTGTATAATTACTTCTTCTGGCAGACCACGCCTATTTTTGCGTAATGTTCCCAATAGGTGGGTGTTTCGATCATAGAGATATTTTGCAAGTTGCAGGCTAGTGTAGTAGTTATCAGTAATTACCATTCTGCCTTCATTTAAAAGAGGTCTCACTAATTCCACTACAGTGCTTCCTGGTAAATCAAGCCCATCAATGGCGGTTGATACACTGTCATATATTTTTAGATGCCAGGTATACCCATTTGGAGTACATACCTTGTACAACTTGATTCCATAAGAGCAGCGAGCTTTGGAAGGATTATATTGTCTGAATTTTAGACGTCCACGAAAAGGCACCATTGTTTCGTCTACCACCACAGTATCACCAGGACAATAAACAGTTTTTATGTTGTTTTGAATGATGCTCAATATTGGATTTATTTTATCCAGCCTACTGGTGGACGGAAGTGTATTGTCCTGAAAATGCCAGCATTTGAGGAGTAGTGTAAATCGATTGTAGCTGATTTTGTGAAATATCTCGTGGTAATACATTGGATCTTTTTTCCAGTAGCTCTCAATGGTTGGAAAATTGATAACTCCCATTAGCATAATGACTCCTGAAAAGAAAAACAAAGAAATTACAAACAAAATAAACGTAAAATTAGGCTATATAAAACAATATGTTCGTAAAAGATCACAATCTTTGTAAGCAAATTTTAATGAAACTGTAAAAAAGAAGCTTTTTGTTTATCGGTGTAGGGGCTATTGTAAGGCAGTCAAACATGGGCGGTCAAACATACACATAGACGTTATGAACCAGAGACCGCTAATTCAGGTCAAAAAACCCCAAAATATTACATTGTTGATGTAAACCAAAATACATAGTATTCACTCACCAATAAACAATTCCATTTCATCTTCATTGGTGTCATGCCATCTGGAAAAGCGGGAAGATGTTCGTGGTTTCTTATTTGCTATTATTTCACGTGCACGCACATTGGTTTGCTGGACCATAAGTTGTATTATTTCATCTGTCAGAAATAACCTATATATATATCTCGTACATCTTTGCCTTCAATTGGAATTAATGTTAGTGATGCAAAGTTTCGTTACTTTTTAGGACCTGTAAGGACTCGTTACTTTCGAACTTTGGACTCGTTAGTTTAGTTACTCTTTGAACATTTCGTTTAGAACCTACATTCTATATATTATATCAAATTATTACTTTGGGATTGATCCAATTATTATTTTTTGTCTAATGCCTTGCCTATTAATTTTTTTGATATTTGATACGTAGAAGGTACTTATATTTTAAACTCGTCGTTGTGTGACGTCTCGTTCGTTGGCTGTACGCTGTAAATAGTATTTAACAAGTGGCATAACCAGATGGGTACCGTGGAGGAACCACTCTCCTCACTCTTTACTTTAGTTGAGTAGCGTCCCCTGCCCTAACAGTCTGGTTACTCCGCTGTCCTACTTAACAGTCTGGTTACTCCACTGTAAATGGTGTTCAACAAAATACTTATAATAATAAAACATACCTGAAACTAAGTTCCTTTTGCACCTAGGCATATTTTCGTCTTCCACCCGCCGTTTTGCCCTTTCTCCTTCCAATGAAAGAGTCGGATGTTTAGTTTTCAAATGCTTCCTTAAATTGCTAATGTTTCCATTTTTATGCGAATAAATATTTTTACAAAGATTAGACTTTGCATTAGCTTCCGATATATTGGTGAAATGCATCCAAATAACACTTCTTTTTTGAGTTTGCGATTCTCCTGAACCGGACGCGGATGATTTCATATTTTTGTACAAATAATAATTATATTATTGCTCGAGCTTGTACGGCAACGTCCAAACCAGTAACAACCCGCCAACCGCTAGCTCTCAAAGTCAAATGAAAAGTGTACAGGTGTACACAAACATTGCCAACCTAAAGCTCCGCAGTCCGCAACTCGTTTGATAGAAGAGTATCTAAAGTTGCCTAAGCCTAACGATATTCGCATCATTTCATTTCCACCCAGTTTACATCCAAGAACCAAGTCACTTGCTGCTGGCGCTGGCAGTACTGGCTACATTAGATCCCAGTAACGTTTGTATCTAAAGTAATGTATAGTGTAGTAACTAACAGTAATTAAAAAGTATACATTGAAAAAGACCGTATCGCATTCAAAGTAACGAATTCAAATAAAAAGTAACGAGTCTTTTCAAAAAGTAGGACTCGTTACATTTAGTTACTCATTTGTAACGATTATTTTGTAAGCGTTACTTAATTATTTTACATCACTAATTAATGTTCCTTGGGTTCCTGTGAACTGAAATTTTTTAAACTGCAAAGCACAATCCGACCAAAATAAGCTCAAATCTTCTTCATTCTGATGAATGAACTCAGCAAACCCAATATCATCACTATCTGAATCAATCTCCTGATCACTCTCAGACTACTCACTCGAAATTTCACTGCCGCTGCAAAAGTCTGGATCGGCAATGCTATCATCGGAATCGAAATCCACTGATCCATCACTTATTTCTGATAAGTGGTTTGCATAATACTCTAGCTCCTTATCGGTGAGTTTTTTTCTATTTTCAGACATTTTTAGTTCACTAAGAAAACTACTAGGTTCACCAAGTAAATAAATAATTTGAGGTTAAGTTAAAATCGTCTTCTTTTTACTTTTTGGTCTAATGCGCATGAGCCATATGAGGCGCATGGGACGTTATCATAATCTCAATATTAGGATAACGTCCCATGAACCACATATGGAGCATGCCATATTTAATGGTGGACGTATGGGTGGAGTTACTAATTTGCATATGGACAGTTAATGTGTTAATATCAGTATTGACATAAATTACATTTCATTGTTTCTGTTTTAGCGCCAAATGTGAGATTCTTCGGTTATGTTAAGACGGTTTTCTTAAACCTATCGTAAGAAATCTTCAGTGTTAGTTGTCAAATTTTACGAAAGTGCTCCACATAAATATACAAGGTAGTAGTGCAGTAAAAGTAAGTATTTTTAAGGTTTAAGTCAATATATTTAAGTTTAGGTTATGTTTTACAGGGGTGTCCAATAACTGACTTAAAATATGATTATTTTCAGTTGTTGGACATCTGTCCAATAACTGCACTTTGCGAAGTGTGTACAGTTTTTGTGTGAAACATTCGTGCGTCTTCTCTGTTTCCAGCAGTTCGGTTTTGGTTTCAGTATTCTTCTTCTTCTTTATTCCTTATGGCTTCTGTATACGTGTACAATCCGCCAGCTCATTTGTTGTGCCTGTACTTTGTCTGGCTCTCAGCCATGTACGAGTCACTGTATTGTCTCGAATACACGTGTAGAAATGCTGTAAAATATATCTATATCTTCTGCTGTATTATTTCTAGAGCTGAGATGTTGCTATTTATGATTGATGAAAACCTTTACTTATGCTTTCTAAAGTGGTGTGGGGAGGTTAGTCAGACAGATAGCACAACACAGGTATAGACTTTTCTCGTACCCGGGCAACGGAGGTACATTACACACAAATGTTGCCTCGGAAAAGGATTAGCACCCAGGGTTTTAAAAGATGGGGATCTGAAACAGTTATAATATTATTTTGTTTGTCTGAATGAAGTAGTTTAATAGGTATATGACTTTCATGTTGATATTTGCGAGTATTAATTGAATGTTAAAGGGGGCATTGAATCCAGCTTTTCTTATCTCTTCATATAGATTAAAACCTAATATTTGATTTATTGGGCATTCCATTCCTGTTTTGAACATGTGAGCTTTATATCTTGCATGTACCGTTCTCATTCTGATTATGGCTGTTAGGTGTCTTCTGCTTATATACGGGATTTTATAGTAAAATGGTTTGACCGGGAATCTTCTTGTATTTTCTTGTACCACCTGCCTTTGTTGATGAATGTTCGTTTCCACATTGTTGTGAATTTCTCCTTTATTTTTGGCCTTAGTATATCTGGTATGGTAAGTTTCGTATCTTGTGGGATTCTGAATTGTCTTCCTAAGTTAGCTAGGGTGTCTGCCGTTTGATTTCCTCTAATATTTGAGTGTCCTGGGATCCAAGCCAGTTCAATATTGCAGCTTCGTGAATTAGCTTTCTTGTTGTGAGGCAGCCATATTCTGAGTTAGCATCCACACCTTGTTTTGCTATTTGTGCTATAGCACTTTGCGAGTCTGTTAGTATTGGGCTTTTCTGGATTTTCTTTTCTATGACTATGTTGCATGCTTTGTTAATCGCTGCTACTTCCGCCGCGCAGCTATTTAAGTAGTCAGGGAGTCTGGATGTGTAGTTATGTTCCAATTGAGGAATGTGTACCCCATATCCCACTTTATAGTCCACTTTAGATGCGTCAGTGTATATGTGATTAGTGGAATGTATTCCTCCAAAATGTTAAGGGCTTCTATGGTGATGGTGGGCGCTCTATTCCTCCAATAGTTTTGGCCTGACTCATATTGATTTTTTAGTTTTTTTTAATATTATGATTAAGGGGTGGGATTGAATTCTAATTTTTTCGCTAGGAATTTAGTGCATAATCAGACCCGCCTGCGGTGTTCTGGAGTTATTGAGGTCTTTTTGATTGCAGGAACTTAATAGTATGCTACCATAATCCAGATGGGATTTAACTAGTCCGTTATACGCCATGTGTAGGGTTGCAGGGTCGGCACCCCAGGATACCTTCCCAAAAATTTTTAAAAGTTTTATTCCCCTATTAGCCTTATTTATCATATTGTCTATCTGTGCGCATCCATTTTAAATTTTTATGTAGTATGACCCCTAAGTATTTCGTTTGGTTTTTGAGCTCTATATTTACATTGTTAATTTTAATTATTGGTGTGGACCGCATTCGACTACCTTTCGTAAACCATATCGCTGAACTTTTTTCCACTGATATTTCAAAGTTGTGGCTTTTCATCCAAACGTTTACTCTTTCCAGATATTCGTTTAATATATCCGCCATTTTGTCTATTTTGTTACCATTGATCATCAGTGCCATATCTATCTATTGTATATACTGTTCTGTTATTCAGTAAAATAAAAATTATATTACAAATTTGTTTAGATATTAGATATTAGTGTTTCGTATAATAGAAAAATGTTTACGTTGTCGTATGCTGATTTGATGTCTAGGAAGACTGCTAACGTGGTTTCTTTTTGTGAAAAAGCCAATTGTATGTTGGAAACTATGAAAGCGAGGTTGTCTTGGGTAGAGTGTGCTTTTCTGAATCCTGTCTGCAGATGGTTAAAAGTTATCTTACTTTCGAGTTCCCACTCTAGTTTATTTTTGATCAAAATCACTAGTGTTTTCCCTACGCACGAGCTTAGAATCAGAGGTCTATAGTTATTGGGGTTGTTTGGGTTTTTATTTGTTTTAAGTATGGGGTATATCAAATGCTCTTTCCAGCTGTTAGGAATTTGCATACCCGATAGGCAGTTGTTGTGTATGTTTAACAGTGAGAGTAGTGTTGAGCCTGGTAGATTCTTGACCAATAAATATGAGATATTGTCCATTCCTGGAGCACTATTTTTGCGGTTTTCCAAAGCGATACATAAATCTCTGAAGTAAAATTGATGGTTTTCATTTTTTGAACAATGGAATGAGAATGCAGCTGGAATGTTACACACAGTCAGATTTTTTATGATATTTGCGGCAATTTGTGGGTTAGGGGATGCGTTTTTATTGTATACTTTTTTATTGTCACTAAATTTTTTAAATGTTTTCCATATGAAAGAGGAATTCGTATTTCTGTTTATGATGGAGCAATTTTTTAAATTGGGTTTTTTCTTTTTTTTTCAAGAATCTATTTGTCGGAGCATTGATTTTTTTCACCTCTATGTAATTTTCTAAACTAGATTCTAGTTTAAACCTTTGTTCAATTTTGGCTGTGCATTCTTCATCCCGCCATGGGCTTCTGGATACCTTTCTGTTATTATCTTGCTTGGTATAGGTATAGGGGATTGAAAGATCAGCTACTATGTTTATTGTTTGAGCAAGGGTTTGGTAGTCAACATTATCCGTATTCATCCTAAAGTGTTTGTTTATCAATTGTTTGTATAAACTCCAATTTGCTTTTTTATAATTACTTTTGGGTCTTTCGTTCGTTGATCTTAGTAAGTGTTCATATTTATAAATGATCGGGAAGTGATCACTATTTCCGCAGTCCTGCAAAATACCCCAATGTGTGATGGTGGCCAAGTTGTTCGACACTATGGTCAGGTCAAGAGGACTCGGATTCTCCCCTGGTCCTATGAGTCTGGTTGAGGAACCATCATTCATTATGATGAGGTTGTTGGATTCTATGATTTCATAGAGAGCTCTACCATTGTAATTTGTCTTAATGCTACCCCATGCTGGGTGATGGGCATTGAAGTCCCCCACCAACACCACTTCGCCCACGAGTGATTTCAATAGTCCATTGAACCCTTTTATTGTTATTTTGTTGCTTGGAGGGCTATATACATTAACAAAATTAATATTAAGGACTTTAGTGACAATACATTGTAGGTTTCCAGTGTTAAATGTGTTAGGGAGTCTTATGTTTTGATAACAGATGTTATTTTTTATAAATGTAGCTACTCCACCTTTCCCATTCTCGGTCCGCTCTAATGCATTGATAGCATCTAATATGCGAACTCTGTTGTTTCTTTAGCCATGTCTCATTTAAAAAAATGATGTCTGGGTTATGCGTTTCTAAAAATTGTATTAAATTCACGCTGTTACTACTGTAACTCATTAGATTCCACTGTAAAGTGATGAAAGTGCCTTTGCTGTTCATTTTGCAGTTGTGTCGATTTTGTACTAC